ATCGCAGGCGCCGAACTTTTCTGTGCGCACGAACCAAGCTGAAATTAGTGTGGTAGGTGTATTTGAACATGGGCCACTTGAATATGCAACAACATTCAGGTCGTTCGATGCTTTTCCCTACGCCTATAGGGATCAGTGCGCTTCGTTACCATCTGTCGGCTTACACAGCCATCATCGCAAGCGCCGAACTTTTTTGTGCGCACGAACCAAGCTGAAATTGCTCTAGTAGGTGTAATCGAGCATGTGCCACCCGAATATGCAACAACATTCAGGTCGTTCGATGCTTTATTTTCCCTATGCCAATAGGGATCCATACGCTTCGTTACCATTTGTCAGCAGACGCAGCCGTTATCGGAGGCGCCGAACATTTCTGTGTGCACGAACCAAGCTGAAATTGCTCTAGTAGGTGTATTTGAACATGGGCCACCAAACTATGCAACAACTTTCAGGTCGTACGATGCTTTCCCCTATGCCTATAGGGATTCATGCGCTAGACATAGCCGTCAGCGTAGGCGCCGAACTTTTCTGTGCGCACGAACCAAGCTGAAATTGCTCTTGTATGTGTATTGGAACCTGGGCCACCCAAATATGCAACAACATTCAGGTCGTTCGATACTTGCGGGGTCGTCCACGCACCATGCGGAGAGAAACTCTACAATGACGGGAGATAGGCTACGAGGTAGGCACGGGTTGTGAGAGTGATCGTAGCTCTGACTGTGTTCTCTAGAACTTGTGTGTTCACATGGCAAAACAGCAAGAGTTTCACTAAGGAAAGTTGAGAATACATAATGATTGAAAGATCAATAGCAAGAATGACTACATGAGAGCCTATCAACCTAGTAGGCAAGCTAGTCGACTGCCGGCAAAGCACGATCGACAGACAACCAGCGTTGCATAGAGGCATCACGCCAGCGTTGCAGAAGAGTGACCTGCCACCAATGCAAATCAGCGGCTTGCCAACGCTGCACCTAGAGCGGCTTGCCAGTTGCATCCGCAGGTGACAATAGCGCATGTGCGCACCGACTTCGCAGATGCCAAGTCAGCCACGTGCCAGAAGCTCCACCTCCACCTCAAGATACCAGCCCGAGGTCGCCTTTGCCATCGCAGCCTCGACGAGCCTCGCGTGCCTCGAGGAGGTTACTCGTTCGACCGGGTCGACCACCTTAAGCCTTGGTCGACGAGGGCCATCGCCCCCGTCGAAGAACCCTCTAGTCGACGGCCCGTCCATCGACCAACTCGATCGGCTGCAGTCGTCGAACTTCCATTGTCGACAGCTCCACGACAGTCCCACGCAGGTCGACGGCCACCTTCGTTGACTTGCCCTGTCGAAATCGGCCGCCGGCTTCCCGTCGACGGCGGCTACCGCAACCCCCCCCCCCCCCCCATGTCGATAGAACTCGTCGACCTGCTCGGGCAGGCTGGCGTCGACCACTGCGGGCGGTCCGTTGCTTCTTCCGTGCACCCGACCACAAAGTCGTGTTCGTTCACGCGGAGGCGGGGCCAACACCAATTTTTGTCAACAACTGCGCATTTGTGAAGTGGTTGCACACTTACGCTATTGTTATCGGCAGTTGAAACGCTGACAGACTACTTTGCACCCTTCCCCCGTAGTCTAACTCCCACCCTTGTTGAGTGATTCTGTTCAGGGCAAGCTTCAGGACAGCACTCGGTTAGCACGGTCACGAGTAAAAACATCATTTTCAATGTGCTGCCATTCAAACTACGGGACCTTGCTATTGGAGCTATCATGCTCAACCCCCTCATCCATACAAAATTGGCATTCCTGGAGTTCAAGAAGAACAATTGAAGATGATCGTAACGATTCTTCGGGAACATTCTAGGAGGTAGCATATGAAACGCCGTCGTCAATAGTACATCAGCATCCATGTTCTCATTTCAAAAGTCATGATGAGCAAGGACCTAGTACCTAGTTCTTGTAACCTCATCGACTCGCAATCATTGTTATTGAAAAAATAGCTGAGCAAAAAATCTGATTGAAAGTAAATGGATCCAATAGTATCTCAGAGTTGTCACTCATGTAATCAACATCCACGTCAACGCTATCGTCAAGATCAAGGAACGGTGCCTTATTTTTGTGATGCTCATTTTCCTCATTCTTTGACGCCTACACCGGCTTACTTCTGTTGCCACCTTCCCCTTCGGCGTCCTTCAGGCGGTTAACATTCGAAGCATAAAGGCACCTGCGGAAAGGTTCTCAGCATGTTCTTCAAACAGACTGACAGTGCACTTGGTGTTCTCTAGCGTTGCTAAAGGAGCTGACACCTGAGAAGAGTAATCGTCAGGCATGTAAGCAGTCTCTCATGCGCCCATGTTTGCCACCCTTCGGATGCCTTCCACCACGAGCCATGTTGTGATGATGACTTGTAGAATACAAGTGTCGAATGCATGAACAACCACCTAATCCGATTATCATGTGAAATTTTAAAAACTACTTGCAGGATCCATGACGTTGAGTAGTCTAAACAAAGGGAACTACAATAGCTCGAAGAAGCTTGACGCAATAAAAATTTTGGAGTTCTCTGAACTGGAAGTATTTGCAAATAAGCTTGAAAAATGCCAAGTTGCTTGCTTGACCTCGTAGCCTTTAAAGGCAGAGCACTCCATTCTCAAAGAGCTTGAGATAAACAGTTTCACTAAAGAACTTCATGAAGTCGAGAATGGTGCACCAATGTCGTGGATATAAAAGAGGTACCATTCAAGAAAAACTTCAAGGAATTGGTGAAATAAATAAATAAATAGAGCCATCTGAAAAGAAGTTGAGTGACTTTGAGAGCCTTTAATTTAACGCATCCATGGTCCCGGGAAACTAGTATATGATCAGCTTGTCCCAGAAATTGAACCTTAATCCAGTCACCCCTGTGAAGTCCTTGTGTGACTGCCACAAATATTAAGTGTTCGCGCTGACCACAAAGCAGATTCTGGATGCTGGAACGCACAAGATGACGGACGAACTGCTGACAGATCTTTACAAAAAGTTGGCAGGCTAGATTGGATTTTCAGGAAGCATCGTATGAAGTTCCGCTTCTTTCCTGGTTTCCAGGAAAAGAGGGGTCGTTGTGCTTTGCGTATTTTCCCAAAGTGGGAATAAGAGAGAAATTCGTGTAACAAATAGAAACCACTCGCATTGTCACATCAACAACGCCCCTGCCCATCACTTAAGCTTTTGGATGGGAACTTACTTCAGTTCAGAGGGTCTGATTTACCTCCTACCATACAAAGGCATGTGGAGTACGAATTCGGAGTGTAGAGCGCGGAAATGCATGCCTCTATTTTTCTATCCCATGACTCGGGCCCCTTCAAAAAGTCTTCCATCTCGTCGTCCTCGTCCATACGGTTCAGAGTGCACGACGAAAATCAAGATTTATGGTGGCCAGTGGCCTGGTGGAGAGAGGGTGTACAGTGCGGTTCAGTTCATCGTACAGTCGATGCTCACCCTTTTCCACAAAACAATCTTTACAGGAGTACAAGCAAACAGCTACACCCTCATTCTCAGTCTGTGCACAATCGCCACATGAACACGCCATCTGTAATGACATCAATGCGTCCAACATGGTCCAAGAACATACGCTGTAAGCACATTTGCCGTACTTAACCGTACGAACAACTAACTGTAAGTTTACATACCGTTGTTTACCGTTCCCCGGGAGTGCGTTTGCCCGCCACCTACCTAGAGTTCGGCTCCAAGCACCAGATCGCTAGGGTCCAAGCAATCAGACGCACTGTAGCCAGTGCTCCCAATTGTGCGTAGACTGAGAATGAGGGTGTATACGGGCAACGTCCCAACGAGTAAATCACCAATTGGCAACCGCTCACATCCGTCGCACACGTCATCAAGTCACAAAACATTCCCGCTTCCATTTTAGTTATGTTTTTGCCCGTGGCGACAAGGGCGATAGTAGGCGAAACGCCGAAAAGTTTTTTCGGTCAGATGCCGACTGTAATGCGCACCGATTGTAAAGTGCGGTAACAGTGCGACGGGGTGCACCACCAAAGCGGGCTCGTGTTTGTGCACCGGAAGCGACAGATTGGTTCGGTCACTGAATCCCGAATCCTGCTTCCAATTCGTCGAACCCGAACCCTGAACCCTCTTGCAGCCAGGAGTTGTTTGTGCACCGTGCGATCAAATGCCGCCACAATCTGAAACAGTTGCTGCACACATGCCTAGTGGAAAAATCGACCCAGCTGTACAGATTTTGGCAGGATGCTGTACAGTTCGCCCCCGGCTCCAGTTCAGACAGCTTTTCACTTCAGTACACATATTCTACAGTAAGAACACTATATTACTTAAGTTTCGAAAAACTATAACACGCTAGCCACATGCGGTTCGCATGTACTCGCCGAGTTTGCCACGGGGAAAAATACTTCTGCAAGTTAGAACCCTGTCACCCGAAAATTCCCAATCTGGGGTAACTATTGAGGTGGACAAATGCATTCCGATGTAGTCCCCAAGTTCGCCACGGACACAAGGTGTATCTGCAAGTTCGAAGCATGTGTAACAGTTCGCAATGTTGTCGTCAAGTTCGCCACATTTGCCGCATGTGCACAACGTCGTTCTAATTTTAGGCGTATTACGAAAGGTCGCCCCCAGAAGTTTGGAATATCCATCGTTGGGGGGAACAAGAAGAACCCAAACACCACCGCGCTCACGCAGGTGTTACCAAGTTGATGGTCCTACACCTGCATGCCAGCCTGGCTCCTCCTAAATCACTACGTAGTGTAGGCCTCCTGCATGACGATGGGGCAAGCCATTTTCATTGCTGGCTCATTCGCCACTCAACGGAATACAATGACGACTCATCATTCCGAATCATGCTTTTCACAACCGCTTTGCTCGGGAGCAAGTTTCGCTCTGTCAAGTGATCGAGGAGCGGGAATTAAGCGAAACGACACTTGGTATTCAGCACGAGCGGAAGCTCGTCCTGCGTTTCCAGTGAGATTCGCGCAGTGTAGCTACAAGTCGAGTGTTGCACCGAGACCCCATGTGGGGTGGAGGGGAGGCGTGCGAAGAAATTACACAACGCAGCGCGGATGGCGCGTTTGGCTCGCGCACGCCGGTCCCAGACGCCGCTTTCATGGAGACCGGCGCGATGAACGAGCGCCATCACGTGACTGACTGCACGGAGGTGTCACATGGTGCGATCATGGGGTTGGACAATGATGCTGATCATCTGCCTGCGGTGCGTGGTAGTCCCGCCGTGTGGGCGCAGCAGAGAGAGCTGGACTGCATTGAGATGGTCATGCTCGGCGCCCAGTCGCCAGCTGCGCGAATTCCACCTGCGCTCGCGGGCGCAGGAGCGCGGAGCGCTGTTCTCGAGGCGCCATGGGCGCATGAGGCGGTGAGCAGAAGGTCCACAGAAGAAATAGTGCGGAAAGGGAGACACGACGGCGAAGTCTTCGCCGCACAGATCAGCGTCTCCGACGAGCTGACCGGCAGGGACGGGAACCGCCGGCCGGCTCGACTTCCCGCCGGCTCGGCGGACGCCGCAGCGACGGCCGGGCTGGAGGCTCTCGTTGAACGCTGCCAATGGCGCCCGCACCAACCGGATCCGCGCTCCACCCGCGGGGGGAGGGAGAAATGGGTGAACCCCGGCGAACTGCGGCCGTATGATGAGGACACGCGGCCTTCCGCAGGACTGGCTGCCAGTGGCGCCGCAGCAATCGGAAAGCGCAGCGCAGCTGTGAGTAGTAATGCGGGGCAGATGGCGGCGGTGCGCGAATACTCTGCCAATGCGGCTGCAGCCGGTACTACCGCCGCATCTCCAATGCGCGAGGCGTGCGCTGCGCCCCAGGCGGCGAGCGGTACGATATCAGCACACCGGCGGTTGCGTCTTGAAGCGTTGCAGTTGGAGGGAAAGCTCGATCTGAACGCCGGCGTGCCGCTTACTCACCCGCAACACGCAGCCCTCGATGCGGCCGTGGTAAGAGAGGCGGGTGCGGGAGCCGCCAGTCTGGAGGCGCTGGGACGAGCTCCGCACGCTATGGGCGAGGGCGGCTTGGCGCGGTGGTACGACAATGCCGGCCTGTGCACGCCCATGCAGCAGCTTCCGGAGCACGGCGTGTTGATTCCGCGCGGCACGCGCGGCACAGGGACTACCGGGACCACTGCTACTGGTGATATGCCTCTCACTACTGATTGCTTCATCCCAGCAAGCCCGAGAAGCCTTCCCGCCATGTTACTGGTGCCCGCCCGTGCTGGTGCGCCACGTGGCGCCCTGACTGGCGAGTTCTCTGTCCCGGGGGGCAGCACGACCAGCAACAGCAGCAGCAACAGCAGCAGCAGCTGCAGCAGCAGCAACAGCAGCAGCAGGAGCAGGCACGACGGAGGACGGTTTGGCAGCCTAGTTCGAACCGCCCCTATAGCCGTGCACGCGGCTCTTTCCAGTCTCAGCACGCACTTGAACTTTGCTCCTAGCCTCCATGATCCGAAGCACGTGGGTGCAACGGTAGGGGCGGCTGGTTCGGTGGACGCAGATGAGGGCGGCGGGGGAGCATGGGATGACGCGCACCCACACGCCGTGCAAGAAGCACGCACAGGTGTGCAGGGCAAGGCGGGTACCATTTCCAGAGACCTCGCGCACGATACATTCGTCTTTGCTGCTCCGCCACCGCGTGCACAGCATCCCGTGTCGCAGAGTAATCTCCCAGTTCAACCCCGCACCAGCTTCACGGCAGCGCCTCAGAAGGATCCTCCCCCATCGTTCTCGTGGACGCCTGCAACCATCGCACTCCCACCTGCTGCACATCCCACCACACCCGCCGACGGCCCTGTCTTTCCACCTCCTTCGCCCCGCTCTCCGCGCCCCTCCGCTGCCTCCCCTGCCACTGCGTCCCTCGCTCACAGCCCGCGCTCTCCCTCAGGCTCGGCAGGCATGGGCAATCCAACGGCTCGTTCCAGGCTGCGCTTCACTTCCCGCTCCCTGCCACGCCCTGCCTCTGGGGGAGGGGGCAGCACGAGTGTGCTCCACAGCATGCACAGCAGCTATGGCAGCGACTTGGCGTCGGGCCATGTGCACGCGCTCAGCTCCCCACTGCATGCGTCTGTGGACGCTTCTCTGCCCTCTCTGCCGCGTCCCTCCCTTGACCTCGCCGCCCCTGCTCTCTCACCTCGCCTCCCTTCCCTTCCATCACTCCCGTGTGTCCCCGCATCCCCTCGCACTGCCTCGCACCAGCACCTGGATCCCATGGGATGGGGGCGCAGAGGGCGGCAGCAGCAGCAGCAGGCGTGGCGGCCGCTGCCAGCAGAGAGCTTCATCCCGTGGGATGCCATCTATGGCCCGCACACGCTCACCTCCACCAGCCTCGCTGCTGCTGTTGCTGCTGCCATCGCCGCTCCCCGCACTACTGCCACCACCACCTCCGCTGCTGCTGCCGCTGACGCTGCTGCTCCCAATGACGCTGCTGGTGCTGCTGTTGGTGGTGCAGCCGCAGCTGCGTTTGCTGGTGGAGCAGCAGCAAGGGACGATACTAGTGGTGAGGGTCGCGGTTTGCCTGGGACGGTCACAGCAGCAGCTGCTGCTGCCGCGTTTCCATTCCGCTACCCGTCACTCCCTCGGCCTGCAGCACACATGCCTGTGCAGCTGCAGTCCCATGCGAGGCACATGGCCGCATGGTCGCAACTGATGAGAGCCAAGAGCGCAAGTGACTTCAGCACCGCCTTGCTTCACAGCAACAGCCCTGAAGCTGTGACAACTTCCCGCAGCCGTCCACTCACATTCTCGCCTGGGTCTTGGGATGATGCAGCGGGCCCTCTAGACAGCCATGAGCACGCCACCACTGCACGCGTGGCTGGCACGGTGCCTGCTACTGCCGATGCGTCTCTGCTTGCCAAGCGCCGCAGAGTGTCCCCTGAGCCACGCGACCGCGCACCACGTGCTTCCTCGCTGCAGCAACATGCACCTGCTCACCTGACTCCCCATGCCGCTGCATTCCCAGGGAGGGCCTTTCATCGCTCCTGCAGTACACCTGTTTTCTCCACTGCCTGCGTTCCCTCTGCTGCACCACCGTCCCCATCGCTTCATCCCTCACCTCTGCGTGCCCCAGCTGCAGCAGCAGCAAGCCTTAGCGGCGGCGTTTTTGGCTCTGACGAGAAATGTGCTGACCTCTGCCTGACTGCAGCGCCCTTCCAGGGCGTGCAAGGTGCAGGATCTAGAGGGGAAACGCAGCAGATGAGCGGCGTGTTTGTGCGCGCTGTAGAGTCCATGGGGGCGGAGGCAGAGCATAGGGCGAGGGCCACTATAGGGGGACTGAGCATGGAGATGCGCAGAGGAGGGAGGGGTGCAGGCGCAGGAGCAGTGGAGGGCGTTGTGACACAGCTGCAAGCAGATGACACGCACTCCAGGCTCTCCATTGCTGTAAGCTGCACCGCATGCACCACACTGCTTTGGGTCGCGCCAATGGCATCCCGCTGTCTTGATTCCCGGCGCAATCACTCCATTCTCACAGCATTGTCACGTCTTCTCCCTTGCGCTTGTGCCATGCCTCCCAACAGGAGCAGCTGGTGCAGTTCCACAGTGAGCCAAGCAACGATGCACGCTCTACCATGGTAGCACCGGGCCTGCCTCATTTGCAGGCAGCCATGTCTAGGGCCGCAAATGCAGGAGAAGCATCAGCGGTAGGAACCTCAGCAGGCACACAAACAGATAACACCTTTGACATTTTTGGCCCTGCTGGCAACACGGCAAACTAGCACTGGTCCCAACCCAAGGACACGGCATGTGTGGGATGGGAGCTCTGCACGGTCGTCATTACTATGAGACGTTTCTCTGGTGGTCCCCAAACATCACACATCTGGCACTGACCCACTTTTGATGCAGGGGGTCGAAGAGAAGAAACATGCTCGACCAGCATTTTTTTTCCACTCGTCATTTTTTCTCTGTGATCTTGCTGTTGTGGTTGTATGAAGTTCATTCATTTATAGGTAGCATCCAAGTGTGTGTCATTAGCAATTATTTTATTACTGATTGATACCTACAGTAGATGGGTGGATGTCTTCGATTCAATGAAAATTTTGTTTTTACGTTAGGAATTGTTTGGTCTACAGAACGAGATGCTGCCGTTTACATCTGTTGCAATGAATAGCGAGAAGATGTGCACAGTATCGCCAAGAAATGAAGCAATTGCAACATCTCAATCCCACTATTTACCGTCATCACCCGGATAGACAGTGTTGAATTGAAGACAGAGGGTGTCTACTATCCGGGTGTTTCTTATAAACGGGGTATCCTCATTATAAGACACCTATTTGTGTGTACGGATTACGGGTAATCGCACACGAGGGGGTATCTTGTAAATGGTTCTTTGTCCATTTCTAAGACACCCTAAGCCCTCCCATTTTTGCCAGCAAACAACTCAGTTTGTCGAAGGGCAGTCAAGAGGAAACCAGCCTGCCTTCTTACAAATCTTTTATTGTACATCCCCAATAGATAAGCAGGGCATCAACTCTAGTAACTAAAGTTTAAAGTGCTTTGAAACGGGCCGAAATAGCCACGAGGGCAAGCTGGAAACAGAGGTCATAGCACACGTATCAAGATGACACACAGCCATTCAAATTTGCTGCACCATACCAGACTGCCCATGCTGGGGCCCAGACCCCTGCATCACATGCTGTTGCACATGCTGTTGCACATGCTGCTGCACATGTCCTTGCATGATGCTTCCATCGCCATGCCCACCCACCATATGCTGCTCCCCCCCTTGCTGCTGCATGCCATTCCCTCCCCCATGCTGCTGCATGCCATTCCCTCCCCCATGCTGCTGCATGCCATTCCCTCCCCCATGCTGCTGCATGCCATTCCCCCCCCCATGCTGCATCAACACACCCTGAACAACACCCACTTCATGCGCGCTCATCACATGCACACCCATCCCGCCCGCACCATTAGCACCATTCATCTGCGTCTGCTGCGCCATGCCGGCCTGCATGCCCACAGGACCGCCCATGCCATCCACAACTGCGCCTGTCATAGGCCCTTGCCCCCCCACCATTCCGCCCACCATGCCCCCCTCGCCACACACACCACCCACACCAGCGGGCGCTAGTGCAGCAGCCATCAGCGCGCTGCCCCCCACACCAGCGCCGCTCGCGCCCCCCTGCCCCCACGCCTTCATTCTCTCCACGCCCCGCTGCAGCAACTCCCTTCTCTGCCTCTTCCACTTGCTCCCCTCCCCTCCTCCCCCCCCGCCCGCGTCGTTTCCCTCTCCCGAACCCTCCCGCCCATCTTCTCCCCGCCCCTCTGCGCCGGGCGAGTCGTCCGCCCCGGCGCCACCACCTGCGGACTGCGCGGAGGGCAGCGGGCGGTCGCCGCCAAGCGCCTCGCGGAGCTTGGAGATGGAGCCGGCGAACTCGACGCGCAGGATGTCGTCCCAGAAGCGGATCGCCGCCGCCACGTCACCCGCGAACTCGCCCGCCTTGCTCTCCACCGCGTGCACTATGCGCATCTGCTCCGCGCGCCGCCCGCCACCAGCCGCGGACGAGGAGAATCGCGGACGGTGGAGGGGTGGAGAAGGAAGATGGTCGTTCGGGGAGAAAGGGAACGGGGACGAGAGGGAAGAGGCGGGAGTGGATGAAGGAAAGAAGAGGGCGACCAACGGTAATGAGAGAATGGGATGACTTTTGAGTCGACTCAAAAGTCACCTCGTTAGAAGGAAAGAAGAGGGCGACCAACGGTAACGAGAGAATGGGAGCGTATGGCATGAGACCGGCAGTCAAGCAGCACGTGCCCCACTTACATGGCCGCCAGTCGGGGCAGCACTGCCCATGCCCCTCACCTGCTTGCGCCAGTACTTGTAGTCGTTCTTATGCCGCCACCACACGCACTTGCGGTCGCGCCGCCGCGCCTCCTCGAGCTTCTCGATGGACGGGCCGCCGTTGAGCCCCTCCTTCCACTCGCGCCACACGTCCTCCACGCGCGCGTCCAGGTTGCGACTCACTTCGTACCCCTCGGGATTCGCCATCTCGCCCATGTCTCCGCCCATCAGCATTGCGCCGCCCTGCATCGGCGCAAGCCCGGGCGACATCGCGCTCCTCCGCCGGCCGATCCGTCCGCCGCTGCCAGACGCGGGTGTCCCCGAGGCGGGGCGCATGGCGGGCGACGTGGGCAGCATGCCCAGAAGCGACTGCCCCGTCGCCATCCCCGCGGATGCGAAATGCCCGCCTGCTCCTTGCGCACCCATGCCCATTGCTCCGCCGGGACCGGACAGCGGAGTTTGGAGGGGGGACGGGGAAGGCCCGCCCAAGGAGAAGCAATCGGGGGGGCTGGCGCCGGGCATGAGCGAGGCAGTGTGCAGCGGCGTGATGGCGGGGTCGCACGCGCCCATCAGCGACGGCGACCCCGACAGCGACGACCCGCCCAGAGGCGCGCTGCTGAATGGCGGCGCCCCCAGCTGCGCGCCATGCGGCGCCATTTGCGTTTGGTGTTGGAGGTGCAGGGGAGAGGGGAGCGCGGGCGAGGAGAAGGCGTGCGAACCTGGGAGACGAGTGCGGGGGAGGGGGATTCACAAGGGGGTGTGGAGTGGGAGGTAAAGTAGCGAAGACAGTTTCGCAGAGAGAACGTCGCGGGAAGGGTGGGGGGCCCAGGGGGGTGAAGGGGGCAAAGGAAGAGCGCGTAAGTGATGGGGGCGCAGAGAGCCAGGCGCCGCTGCGGCGTTCCGCATTCTCATGACTTCCCCGCGGATCCAACAAGGACTCCCCCCTCTGCGCAATCCGAGTCCTACCATCGCCGGGCAGAACTCACTCCCCCTCTCGTACGTACACCACGCTGCGCACCTGGAGATGCCATCATATTGGGCGCGGGAAAATCCGCGAAGGCGATTTTCAAAAAGATGGTTTCCTGAATGCGCAGCTGCTCCTTCTCCTTCCACAGGCAATTCCGCATCCGACGGTGGTCGTCCACTCGCTCGCGATCGCCCGCCTTCGCCGCCTCGTCCAGCTCATGCGTTGCGCGCGCCAACTGCTCCTCCACCGTGTGGATGTCGCGCCGCACTCGCAGCAGCTCGCTACGCGCCTCGTCGGCTCGCGCGCCCATAGCTGCAGACGCAGCGGCACAGCGCTGCTGCAGAGGCGGCGGAAGAGAACGGCGCCAGTGGAAGCAATAAATCAATGTGCCGCGCGAACAGGACAGACAGCCGCAGCACGTGACGAAGCAGGTTGAAATGGAAAATCTATGGCACCAGGATAGGATCAACCTGAAGAGAAGTCACTACTAGCTCCACGTAAGTTCAAATTGCGAAGTGGCAAAAACTGGCGATTCCGCAGAGACTCTTGGCAAAACAGGAATTCGGGCTAGTGGCGGAAGCGGGAACCACAAGGGCTCTGTTCTGTAGGCCCTGGCGCCGGGGGGCGAGGGGAAATAGGTAGCTTCCCCCTCCTTCGTTTTTTGGTCCGGAACGGCTAACCGTTTTGCAGACGGTGCCGAGCCAGCCATTTCCCCTCCGAACCTGTTCAGGGGAAATGGCTACAGAACAGCCATTCCCCCGTGGGTTTTTGGCCCATACGAAACTACCGATTTCCCCTCCCCACCTTCCTTCTCCGGCAAAAAACACGCCACTCGCCCCGCCCTTCGAAAACTGCTTTTTCAGGGCTTGGCGAGAGACAAGGGAGGGAGGTACGGGGGGTTGGGACACCCCGTATCTACCCTCGACGACATCCCCTCCAGCTGCTCGTGACCCACACAGAAAAGCACAACCCTGCTAAAAAAAAAATAACGCGCTGTCAACCACCTTGCCGAGACTGGAAACCCTAGCTTGCCTCCGTTTCGTTGGGAGTTGGGTGTGTATTCCGTTTTTCTAGCCCTGCACCCCCTCTTGCAAATGTTTACCTTGCAGTTTAGGGTTGGGTCCATCGATATACCCCTGCCAATGGGGCGCGAAGTTGAGCAGGTAAATTCGCCATTTACCGTCGGCAGTTTCCGCCCTCGCTCTCGAAGTTTCGCGCTTTCGGTTGTAGCGGTGTGGAGGTGTTTTCGGTTGGGAAACTGCGTAGGAACCCGGGTCATTTGCTTTCGCTTCCCCTCCTCCCCCTTCGGGCGAATGCCTACAGAACAGAGCCAAGGGATGGATCTGGGCGGCAAGGTGGGAGGAGGGAGGGAGTGAAGGGGGGGGGGGGGGGAGCGGGGGGGAGGGTGCGTGGAGCGGAGCTCGAAGGGAGATGTTGGCGGACTTCCGTCGCAAGCAGGGAGCGAGCAAGGCTGCGTAGTGAATTTGCAGGGTCGCATACACCGCAAGGGGAGGGTCTGCTGCGCCAAGTCTCCCGACTTCCCATTGGGTGGCGGGGATGACTAGGAAAGATGGGAACAGTTTGGGATATCGTGCGACGTTTGCGACGCCGCGCAATCGCATGTCGTCGAAACTTTGTACGTGTTGGTCGCAGCGCATGGTGATTCTACAGAGCGAATTGTTTTAGGTTCCACTCTCTCCCGTCATTGGCACTCTATATTTCTGAATTTCTGACTGTGCATATACAGATGTTATGAACTGAAAGTGGTTTGCGTGTAGCTCGGCCACGCGTAATGTTCAGGCTGACATGCAATTTCGCAATGGGCATTTCGAGTCGCACATTTGTTTGCGTTGCAATGCTTGTGAGCAACACCATCCCATCTTCCCATTGTTCATTTCCCTAACACGTGCACCTTCAATTCCACACCCTCTTTCACACGCTCTCTTTCCACAGTGCGAGGTTCCCAAGTTAAGCTTCGGCGGTCTGACGTTATCTTTTCTTCTTGTTCATGCCTTCCGCAATGGTTTCAAGGGCTGGACCCGCCCGAAATTTCCTATTGCGTATCTCGAGGACTTGGCAGGTGAACAACCCAGTGCTTCCTGCCATAAAGACTGGCAACTCATTCGCCGCCGTGCTGCCGCCTGCTTCATCGCCATGCTCCACAGCGTGCCTTTCAAACCGTCTTCTTCCATCGCTGGCACCGCCAGCAGCGACAGTCTCGTTCACCACGACGACCTCGGGTGAAAAGCCGCCCCCCATGAAATCTGCAGATGTTGCCGCGTCGCCTGGAACTAGCGCCAGCATGGGAGATCCGTCGGATTTTATTGACGTGCAGCTGGCTGCGCCCCCCACGGCGTTCCACTGCGACCCGCCACAGCCCCTCGTGCGCACCACGTCGCAGGAGCTGCTGCGTCTGTTCCGCGACATGGCCGTTATTCGCCGCGCCGAGATCGCGTCCGACTTGGTGCGCAACGCGCCCATACCACTGCCACTGAACACCCCCTCTCTAGGAACCGTGGCATGATGTATATCATGTGGTCACAGATTATGACCACCATGTTCTCGTGTCGCGAATACGCATAAATCTGGTTTCTCCTCGTCGTTTCGTGCCTATTCTAATGTCACCTGTATCACACCTCCATGCATCCCTGCCCCAACCCCGCCCATCCCCCATGGCAACTGGCCAACGGCGGTGAGCGCGCAGCTGTTCAAGGAGCGGGCGGTGCGCGGGTTCTGCCATCTTTACGACGGGCAGGAGGCCGTGGCCGTGGGCATGGAGGCGGCCATGGCGCCGCACGACGCGCTCATCACGGCGTACCGCGACCATGGCTTCTTCCTCTCCCGGGGGGGCTCGCTGCAGGTGAGGGCCAGCCCACGTACGGTTGGACGGTTGGACTTGACGCTGCACTTGCTTTCACCCTCACAACCATGGGCTCAGGAACGATAGTAGCCACTGTACATTCTTGACGCGGGTGTGCTCTTCTCTCCTCGTTGGCAATCCTCTTCGCGCCGCACAGGAGCTGTTCGCGGAGCTGATGGGGCGGCGCGATGGGTGTGCGCAGGGCAAGGGCGGTTCTATGCACCTGTACGGCGTGGCGCGGGGCTTTTACGGCGGGTGGGGCATCGTGGGCACGTCACCGCCACTGGGTGCGGGGCTGGCTTTGGGACAGAAGTTGATGGGGCGGCAGGGGGGGAGCGTTACTGCCGCCGTGTATGGTGATGGCGCTGCTAACCAGGTGCATGGACAGTGGATGCAGGAGCATGATATGGTTGTCGAATTATGCTTGTTCTGCTTAGAACGAGCAGGAAGGCAGAAGTGCATTGGCATGGCATGCATGGTGGTACTGGGTTTTGTACGGATGGTCTCTCCATGAAAATAATCCCCGTGCAAGTTCTCCCGATACGCCACCCACAGGGCCAGGTGTACGAGGCAATGAACATGGCAGCATTGTGGCGCTTGCCAGTGGTATTCGTTGTTGAGAACAACCATGTGAGTTGCTGCAGGTTGCAGCCATTCGCAGTAACCATGTTGGCATGCAGTTTGTCCTCCCTGTTATGTCGCCTACCCGACCCATCCTCACTCGCCTCCCTTCTGGTGTGGGCAGTATGGCATGGGCACGTCTGAGCGCCGTGCATCAGCGCAGACCAGCTTCTTCGACCGCGCCAACTACATTCCTGGCCTGCTCGTACGTGCACCTGGGTGCTCCTGCCCATGCACATGCTCTATGGTTATCTAGGGCACTGTGCCTTGCGTTGCGTCTCACTCTCTGCTCCGTACTGCCTGTGCATGTCTGCTTGCATGACTGTTCAGGTGGATGGCATGGACGTGCTTGCAGTCAAGCAAGCCATGGAGTATGCCAAGCAGCATGCCATCGCCAAGGTGCGCACTCACGTCACACCTGCTCCCCACCTGCTCCCCACCTCCCACCTGCTCCCCACCTGCTCCCCACCTGCTCTCCACCTGCTCCCCACCTGCTCGCCGTCAACAAAACGCACTGTACCCCCATCCGCACACTGCGGTAGCGATGCTGCGCTCTCCACCAGCCTCTCCTACCCCTATCCATCTCTTCTTCTCCGCGTTGCCATACACCAAGCACACTTTGGGCCTGTGTTGTGCATGTGGGGGGCGAGCAGGGCCCCATGGTGTTGGAGATGGACACATACCGCTACCATGGCCACTCCATGTCCGACCCCGGCAGCTCCTACCGCCAGCGCACTGAGATTCAACAAACCCGCCGCGCGCGTGACCCCATTGAGCGAGTGCGACACCTCATACTGGAGGTGAGGCATGATACCATATTCCAGGAATGCGTGAGACTCCGGTCACACAGACCAGACCAGAGCCCCACGTCGACATACACATCATATCAAGCTTTGTCACAATGTCACATATGCCATGCATGCAATTCGTTCACAGATTCGTTCCTGCCCTCTCAACCATGGCAGCACAAAGTGGAAAGTGAGGAGGGACTCAGGCGGGCAGAGAAGCGGGTGAGAGCAGAGGTGGATGCAGCAGTGCAGGCTGCCAAAGAGGGAGCAGCACCGAATGAGAAGGATTTGTGGCAACGTGTCTATAAGCTGGACAAGGGGATGGTATTCACAGCCCCAGTTGTGAGTGAACAGAGGGTACAGATGCTCTAGGGAGCCAGCTGAGCCGAAGACTATGGCAACACTTGTGCAAGACACTGTTGAGTGGTGGCGACGAACAGACAAGCTCAACTCATGCAAGGAGTGTCAGCTTTAGCTGGCATACCTAAGTTTCATTAGCCAATGCGGCCTTGTTTCCTCCCAGCTCTGAACACATCCCCGAGTTATCAGCCTACAGTACCTGTCTAGCTAGGGTTAGAAGTTAGCAGCAAGTCATGACTGTCAGTACAGCTAGTCAGCGGCAACAGCTGTCGGTGCTCTGAAGTTGCACTGCTGGAGCAGAGGGTTGTCATATGGCACGTATCGTGTCCAGAACGTCTGGTAGACAGGGATGGCGAGTTCAAGCCATGGTTTCGCATGACCATTGTAGTGAATCACGGCTGCTTTTTGCACCAATCCAACATCAACGGTGCTCTTGCTGCCCAAGCCCAACACCTGCCACCGCTTGTCCAGAGGCTGTGTTGCGTTGTAGAACGTGAGCAGACCAGGAGGAAGGGTGCCCAGCTTCCAGAGCGAGCGGTCTTCATTCTGAGCAACGAGGATGACACCACAGTTCACATGTTCCAAGGGCCGTCAGTTGAGGTTTTAAGAAGAGTATTCACAGCTGGCCAGACACGGGGAAATAAAGCAGCAAGGACGACTGTTTTGAGCAACAGGAGCGAACCTTGTCTTGCCAGAAGTGGTACTTGTCGGTGTAGTTCCCCCGGCGCCAGGCAGCCAGGTTGAACATGTTCATTCCGAAGGCCCATCCGCACCCCTCAGGGTCGAAATCGGCCAGAAGGGGACTGGAGAAGTTGAGATACGTCTTGAACCGGTGGAACACCTTCCCGCACGTCTCCACAGCAAGATTCACCTTGCCATTCATGGGGATCTGAGGGCAGAGTTTTGGGGAACAGAGCCAACTCAATAAGCAGCGCGAAAAAGGAAATCAGAAGCTAACGGCAGTCTGCAGTTGTGGAGCATAAATCAGCGCGAGTATGCGCGGGAAGGGGAGCTAGGATACCTTCCACAGCTCTGAGAGGTCTTGCTGCACAACCACGTCGTCGTCCAAAAATAGGATCTTATCCAAGTGCGGAAATATCCGCGGGAGGTAGAAGCGCAGGTGGTTGAGGATGGACAGGTACTTGGGGTTGCGGTACTTGAGGTCCACATAGTCCTCCTTGGCGTGCGTTGCGCCCACTTTCGACGCCATAGACGCCTGGAAGTAGTAGTCGCGCATCGCCTCGGATTCGATTTGTCTCAACACAGGTACGTACGAGGCGTTGAGCCACGGGTACTCGTCCAGCGAGCGAACCTGCCAACGAGAGGACGCAGCAGCAGGTGAGCCGCGACAATCGAAATCAGAATCACTATGTAAAGGGCATCGGACGACCCTGCGAGCGTACCTCGAGAGCCATGTTCCCGCGTGGGGGGTTGAGACTGAACCACGCCTTCATGGCGGCGTAGTTCATCCTGTCGGTGATGACGTGGAATACATGCTCCGACGGCTGCACGCATTCAGGAATCCCACCCATCGGTTAGCCTCGTATCCTCTCCAGGGAACATAGAAACCAAAGCAAAAACAAACATACGCCGGCACCTACGTTGGCTGCGTTGGATGCTGTCGAGTTCACCACGACAGCAACGGCGACGACATTGTCGGAGAACAGGGCGTAGTGGTGGAGGCTGGGGTCCGAGAGCCTAGGATCAACCCTGTCTGCTCTCATGAGCTCGGGGTGTGTGCTGTGGACCATGGTTAGGCGAAGCGATAGACAGTGCAGCGGCTGCGGAATAGCGCGCGAAGCTATTTGGCTAAAAACCATGCTTTGCAGGAGCATGTTCTTCGTCTGCTGCTCAGCCGCCTCAAGCTTAAGCTTCAACCTGCAGCACAAACACATAATCGATGTTACTCCCTGTGCGCGCGACAAGCCAGATACGCAATTCAACGGCTCACGCATGCTCCCTACGCACCTGGACAAAGCTCTCCCTTCTCGAAGCGGTCGTTTCCTCTTCTGCTTCGGTCGCGCTTCTTCGGGCGCTGCGATCGCGTCGCGTGGCCCGCCAGCGTATGCCTGGTCTAAAAGGCTTAGGCAACGGTGCACCTCCTGCTTCACGCGCTCCATGAGAATCTCATCCTGCACCTCGTCTGCGATCGTCAGATACGACTTGGCAGAAAGGAAGCACTCTACTAGCTTTGAACTCGATGGCGGCCGTGCATCGCCGTGCCCGCTTTTTGAGACGCTTGGCTTGGTCCGCTCCGCGCTGCCGTTATGGTGGCCGGCAACAGCAACGTGCATCCGTCTGGACAGTCGGGTTCGCAGGCTGGCGGAAGAGTCGCCGCTTGATCCAATCTGCAGGCCAGCGGAAGAGCTTTAGCGTGTCGAGCAATGGAGTTAAGAACGTGGGAAAAAGGCAGACAAGAATCTGAGGGCGCACCTTCTCACGGTATAAGCCATTGTCGCCTGAAAAGTAACGCACACCGGAAAGACCATCTGCAGAAAAAAGGGAAGCTATATTGGTCGTTGCTAAAGTGGATTAACTTCAACGTGCGGAAAAACCTCTTATCACGACTCACCACTAGTGCCAGGGGCGCTCGACAGGAGATCTCGTGCGCGCAGGAAAAGAAGTTGCTGGGTGACAAGTAAAACTAAGGAGATCGAAATGACTGTTCGCACAAGTCCGAAGACTCCTCTAGCAAGTAGTAATCGCTTAGCCTTTTTCACAAAAAATACGGGCTTCATAGTGTCCTGGTCGTCTCAGTGGGCCAACTGAGTGGCAAGGAGCGCGACCATTATCTAACTAGAAAATGGCATACAGAACAATCACACAGATGCTACGAGGGTAAGGCGCTTAGCGACATTCTCTGGGTATCGTAAACATTGCGATAGCTTAGGGAATTTCTGTTTTCTGGCCACGGTAGCTCAGCCCCTCCGACTGCTACTAGCAAAACAAGTTTCGGGAATCGTGGTTCACATACTTCACCAACCCCCACCCCACCACAAACGCCGTTTCGCCATTCGCGGGCTACCTGGGAAACGGCTTCAGTGAGGATATCTGGGTGGGCCCTGCCTGCGGTCCTGGGAGAACCTTCCCGTTAGGTTGAGCGGAAGGAAGGGGTGCGTGCGGGTGGCGCATGTTGCGAGGAAGTAGGGGGAGAGTGGCGGGGGGGTGAAGGGGGTGAACAAATCCCACGCCCAGCGCAGGAACGAATTTGCACCCAGCCCCACGCACGGCGTGGCGCTGCCACATCGTCACCAGGCCTGGCTTTGTGGCTCGCTCGTTTTCGGGGCATTGTCGCGACTCGTGCGAGGCAGCGCCAGCCTGTCGCAACACCCAAGGTTACCCCAGCCAGCCAACCAGACCGCCACGATCCCTCGAGTCGAGACTCTGAATTTCGCAAGCATTGGGCCGTTGCCCTGCGCTGCGTGCGGTCCCAGGACCCCCCAACACACCTGCTACGTGGTGAGACATCTGACAAAGACGGCGCCGCGTCTTATACAAAACACTTCGGTATATGGATTAGTGACAAGAGTCAGAACAAAAAAACGCATAGCCGAAATAAGATTGTCAAGGTCGCAGGTTTTAGGTTCATTCATAGTTTCCATATCTGGCGTGTTTGTAATCCAGATGACTAGCTTTCCGAAGAAGTTCCTCAACCATGGCACGCAGAAAGTTATGATGCTCAGTGGTTGGGAACTTCGGACCACATGCTGCAATGAATAAGTACCATGATCCAGCGTTCTTCCGGGCATATCTGTAATAAGAGGCCCTTGCAATGCAAGTGTTTGAATGAACAATGCCCACATTCACTATGCTTCACAGTCATCGCCATAGACACCATCTGCCCTGCCCTGCCTTGTATCCTGACCCTACCAGCCACTCTATCTAGGCCTGCCGCGCATCTCCCTCTGTGCCCTGCCCGTCTCCGTGCGTGCGCGGCGGTCCTCAAACCACTGCAGGATGCGGCGGCGCGGCAGGTGAGTCACACTCACCAGGTTTGCCACCACCGCATTCTGGGATACCAGGGAGTCATGGGGTAACACGGGTGGAAGGAAAGGAAAGTGCTCAGGAAGCGCAATGGAGGGAAGGAAAAGGGGGGAGGCGGGAGAAGAATAGGGAAAGGTCGAGAAAGTTGAGGTGCATCGGGTTGACGACAGTACAGGTGTGATCAGTTGCTCCATGGGAGCACAGCACATGCAGCAGGGACGACTGATCCAAGGTGGCTCACATGGTTGGATGGGTGCTGGCATGCAGAGTGTAGGAGAAACAGATGGCGGGTAAACGGGAGAAGCGGAGGAGGGGCATTCACCGTGGGGTACTTGCTGCGCTGGTAAACAGCCTCCAGTGTGCTCAGGTGCTCCTGCCGTATCCTCTTCCCCTTCTTCCACCGCTCCTGCCACTCCTTCTTCCCCTCCTCACTCATTCCCAGCCGGTCCGCCCCCTTCCCCTCCGCTCCGCCCTTCCCACCCACGCCCTTCCCTTCCCCTGGCGCCTCCCCAGCGCCACTCTGCGCCAGCACTGCCGTTTCTTGCGCCCCCCCGCCCTCAGCAGGGGCCGGTGCCGCGGAGGGGGGAGAGGAGGGCGAGAGGAGGTCGGGGAAGAGGGCGGAGATGTCGGGGGGGTGGCGCAGGAACGCCAGCACGTCTCGCCGCGGCAGATGGGCCTCTGCTGCCAGTGCCTTCACCTGGCGGACGCACGGGGCAACGGGTGGCCGGTGCGCCATGGGAGGGTTTTGGGGACAAAGAGATGGGAGGAAAGGAAACCCAATGCGGTGGATGAACGGCAAAGATGCGAGCGATGAACGCATGGTGAAAAGAAGGTGCACGGACGAGAGGGAAAGCAGTGGGGTGTGCGGGCGGGGAGCAAGGGAGTGCAAGAGGCGCACATTGATGTGTCGCCGCCCCTTGTGCACAGCCAGCGCCAGTTTCTTCAGCTGCCACCGCTGCAGCTGCACCTCCCGCCGTGCCCCTTCCCTCGCCCCATGGCTCTCCTCCTCTTCTGCTTCGTCCTCCTCGCCCTGCCAGTCCTCCTCATCTCCCTGTGTCGACTTGTCGCTGCGTTTCCCTCTCGCATCTCCCTGCCCTTCACCCACTGCGCCACTGCTCTCTACGTGCTCCTCACTCCTCGCTCTCTGCGCTTTCTCATCTGCCACCGCTTCCCTCCTTCCCATAGCGCTGCCACTACTGGCACCTGCGCCAATGGCTCCTGCGCCAATGGCACCTGCGCCAATGGCACCTGCGCCAATGGCACCTGCCATCACCCCTGCCACATCATGCACCCCCTCTTCCTTCTTGCCCGCCTCTCCTCGCCCTCCTTGCCCGCTCTCCTCCCCTCTTACCCCCTTCGCAATCACCTCTCCCCTTTCCTGTTTCCCCTCTGGCTGCTCCCACAGCTCACCCTCCCATTCCCCTTCTCCTCTCCCATCCTCCTCCTCCTCCTCCCCCTCGTCCTCCTCCTCCAGTCCCAACTCCGCCACCAGAGCTCTCTCCTCCTCATCCACCTCCCCCTCCCCCTCCCCCTCTTTCTCCACCTCCGCCGTCATTTCCGCCAGTGCCGCGTCCAGCTCAATCTGCAGCGCCGCCAGCTCATCATCATCAAGTTCCACGTCAGCATCGCCCGCAGCGAAGCCAGTGCCGTCCACGTCAGCGTCGGCCTCGAGATCGCTGGCGAGCTGCGCGAAGAGCGCCTCGATGGCCGCCTCCAGGTCCGCCTCGCTCATCTCGCCCACGTCCGCGCCCTGCCGCGCGCGCGCAGGGGGGGGGGGAGGGGTGGGGGGGAGGGGGGATAGGATCAACGCAGGCGCAATGGAGGAGAGAGGGGAAGGGGAGAAGGATAAAGCTGACGATAACGGCGGAGGGTCCAGCGGCTCGCCGGCCCGCTAAACCCTTAACCTAAACCCTGTTCCGAAACCCCGTAAACCCCTGAACTTCATAACCATGAACCATTATCTTTTCGCGCGCATGGCGGCTATTGCGACCGCGCGAGTTGCGGCGCAAGGCGGCGCCTCACCTCGTCGTGCAGGGCCACCGTCACGGTCTCGTTCTCGTCGCTCCCCTGCCCCTTCCCCTTCCTCTTCCCTTTCTCCTTCTCCTTCCCTTTACCCTTCCCTTTCCCTTTGCTCTTCTCCCTTCCGCCGCCGTCCCCAAATCCCGTCTTCCCCGCGCGCACGGCGCATCGTCGCTGCGGCTGTCCCGCGGGATTATCCGCCCCGAATGCGCCGGTCCTCCGCAGACCGACGACTCGCGCGCCACGCAGACTGGACGGCTCGGGTCGACCACACGCAGCTACGGCCGGCAAGGTGCCACGTGGTATTTGCATGTCTATGAGACGCCATGCCCGGGGCGATACGGCTGGTATGGCGTGCGGGCACCGCGTGGAATGCGACAGCGCGCAACCATAGTGCGATCGCACAGGCGCGAGCAGGCTTAGCGACGCTGATTGGCAAGTTGCCATGAAAACGGCGACGCGAATAACTGGAGACTGCTAACACCAGTAGGGAGTTCGAGATGATATCAGTGGAGGCAGCGCAGTGATGGTGCTCGAATATATGGGAATTTCCTGTTGGGTAGCCTCATATCGACAGACCGTCGAAGAGCTATCGCGATACAATTAATGAACTATTGGAGTGATAGACAGATACACCATTCAGTAGTCAAAATCAATACTGACGACATTGCTACAAAAATGTGCACAGCAGCATTCCTCCGCCTCATTGCAGGACACTACACATGCAGGCAGGTCACCAGGAGAAACAGGCCAAGAGCTATAGCCCGGTCCCTACACAAAATTGTCCAGCCATGGAATGGAAGCAAGCCCATTCTTGAGGGCACTTGCTGGGCGACAAAATTGAAATTGCATGGAGGGTTTGCGATGGTGCGGGTGCGCAATGGGTCAGGGGGATATAGGAAATGATGGGATGCGGAAGGGTGCAAGTGATGGTGCATGGATGCAGTGTGTGATGCATGGGTATACGCAGAGCAGCTGCAGGTGAAAGGTTGAGTGGATGACTGTACAAGCAAAATTGTGCGGCCAGACACATGTTCCCAGTGCTAGCAGAGCCACTGACGTGGGAGGTTAGGTAGGGGAGAGGATGGGGCGGATTCTAGGGTCAGATGGGGGAGAAATGGCAGGAGAGAGCGGAGGTGGGTTGGATGAAGATTTAGGGTTAAGAGGGCGAGAGAGAGAGAGAGAGAGAGAGAGAGAGAGAGAGAGAGAGAGAGAGAGAGAGAGAGAGAGAGAGAGAGAGAGAGAGAGAGAGAGAGAGAGAGAGAGAGAGAGAGAGAGAGAGAGAGAGAGACTGGAGTGAGCAGTATAGGGGTGGAGTGGCGGCATGGGTGGGAGAGGGTCAGTGCAGGGTGGAGGCGGAGGAGGTGCGGGCAGCGGGTCCCAGCAGTGTGATGACCACCGTGACATCGTCATGGTACTTGCGCCGCCGCCCCGATGGGATGTTGCGCAGCTCCTCCACTCCCAACCCTGCATGCAGCCATGCCCATGCAGCCATGCACATGCACCCATGCCCATGCAGCCATGCACATGCAGCCATGCACATGCAGCCATGCACATGCACCCACGCACAAGCAGCCGTGCATATGCGCCCATGCCCATGCACCCATGCACATGCACCCATGCCCATCCACCCATGCCCATCCACCCATGCCCATGCACCCATGCCAATGCACCCACACATGGCCACAACCACACCACGGTTGGTTGAATGTGGGCAGTGAGGGGAAAGGGAGGAGAAGAAGGTACTGAAGGTGCATGACGACGGCTCGTCCTCCTCTCACTCGTAATTCTGGGTGCGCGGGCACCACATGCAAATCAGATGACCCCGGCAGTCAAGCAGTGCGGAGTGGGCAGCGCGGGCGTACCAGCCTGCTTGGCGGCGCGCAGCAGCAGCTGTTCCAGCATGTGCTTGGCGGGGTCGCCGTGGGGGTGCGCGAGCAGGAACGCGGCGACGTGCTGCACCACCTCCTGGTTGGTGAAGAAGTCAAACAGCCCGTCGCTGCCCGCCACCACGAACCAGTCGCGCGCACACAGCCGCCGCGCCGTGGCAAAGGGCACGCTGGACACGTACGGCGGCGACGCCAGGTCGCGCACGCGGAAGATGCCCATCAGCTTGTTGTTCAGCCGCTCCTGCTCTCCCACACACAGGGGGGGGGCGGTGCAGTGCGGGGGGGTGAGGGGGTAGGCCGGGGGAGTGGCGTGGGTGGCAGAGAGAGGGGATGGGGAGGAGTCGGTTGAAGCAAGGAGCGGGGGGTGTGAAGGTGCAGTAAGGTATTTGCAACAGAGTAAGCAAACACGCAAAGCATCTCCAAGCCTTCTCACGTCATGCCAACATTCCCTCCGTTCAACCACATACAGCCCGGACCCGTTTCCCCGGACCCGTTTCCCCTGACCCGGTTCCCCTGACCCGTTTCCCCTGAGCTTCCACTGCCACCCTGCACTGCACGCCCGTGCGTGCGTACGCTTTTGAGGTAGCCAGCGCCAAAGGCGCGGGTGACGCGCAGCTTGCCCTTGACGCGGCGCCCCATCACGGCGCTGGCATCCAGCGGGTGCTCCGCCACCACCCGCCGCCTCTCTGGCTCGTAGTCCACACAGTGCTGCTCCGACAGCACCACCACTCTCAACCCCTCCAAACCACTCCGCCCCTTCTCGCCCTTCCCGCCCATCCCCTCGCCAGCAAGCGCGTCGCCATGAGCGCCCTCGAAGCCTTCCCCTCCTCCACCACACGCCCCGTCGCCCACCCCCACCCATTCCCCCGGCCCCTCCCTGTCCGCGTCGCTACCGTCCGCGGCGCCCATGCTCACGGACGCGCCTTCCCCCGGCGCGGCCCACGTGGCGAGCAGCGCGCGGCTGTCGCCGAGGTTGAGAGTGAAGAGGTGGCGGCCGTGCAGCAGCACGAGCAGCACGCACGAACCCACCATGGCCAGGTCCGGGCGCTCCTCCATCTCCGCCTCCACCATGCGCAGGAAGTCGCGCTCTGTGTGCGCCAGCGCGCGCTGCAGGCACCGCAGCACTGCGCGCTGGAACTCCGCCGTCGCGCCCGCGCTCGCTGCTGCGGCGCTCGCGGCGGGCGGTTTGGATGACGCGGCGCCGGGTGAGTCCGTGCCGTTGAGAGAGGGAGCGGGGGGGGTAGGGGTGGGTGAAGTGGGCGAGGAGGAGGAGCAAGAGCCAGCCCCGGACGGTGAACACACCGACGCTGCTGCTGCTGCTGCTGCTGCTGCTGCTGCTGCTGCTGCTTCTGCTGCTTCTGTTGCCGGTGCTTCTACCGCTGCTGCTTCTACGGCTACTGCTTCTACTGCTGCTGCTGCCGCTGCTGGCTGCCACGAATCGTTCGCTTCTGCTGGCAACGAGGAGCGAGTCGAGTCGTTACAATCGACTGCGCTTTCCGGACCGTTACTAGCCCTACTCCGTCCACTGCTAGACTCATCACAACACATGCCACCAGCACTCTCCGCGCCTATCCCTCTGTCGGCCACGCCATCCCCCTCCGCCACACCCATACGTTGCGCCGCGTTCACCTCTTCCGGACCTTCTACCGCCCCTGCTGCCGCCCCTGCTGCCCCCTCTCCGTCAACCCTTTGCGCGCCAGCCTGTGCGCACCCCCTCCCATTCTCCCCCTCGTCACCGCTTCCGCCTTCCCCGCCGTCGGCGGTGGGGACGGCGCGCAGCGCGGAGGTGAGGGGCGAGAGCGCGGAGGACGCCTCCTCGCACACGGTGGGCAGCGACGGCATGCTCTGGCTCAGACTCGGGTTCGCCGTGCGCAGCAGCGATGGCGCAGGCACGGCGGAGGAAGGCGACGCGGGGAGGAAGGAGACAGGCGGGGGCGGAGGGAGCATGTGCCAGAGATGCTGCTTCTGATGGTGGTGATGCTGCTGCCGCTGCCTTTGCTTCTGCTGCGCCTCTTGCTGCGCCGCGTGCTGTTCCTGCCAATGCAGCAGCCGCAGGTGCATGCCCACGCTCTCGTACAGGTTCACGGCCAGGAAATCCGCCGCGTCGCGCCCGTTAAACCCGTCGTACACGCCGCAGAACACCCACCCGTTGGCCTCGGAGCACACGGCCTGCACGCGGTCCTCGCCCGCCGCCCCGCCCGCCACCTGCACGTCCGTCGCCTGCAGAAAGCTCTGCCCCAGCGACCCGGGCGCAGAGCTGCTGTTCTCCGCGGAAAAGATGGGCTCTCCGCCGGTGCTTCCGCCGCCCGCGGAAAGCATAGAGGACCAGAGGCTCGCGCCGGACGTGGGGGACGCGGAAGAAGCGGCGGAGGCGGAGGAGGGCGTGGTGGAGGCGGAGGAAGCGGAGCGGTAGGAGAGAGGATTGGAGGACATGGATGAGGAGGCGGAGGAGGAGGAGAGCGGGCACGCGGGCGCACAGCACGCGGGGATGCCGGAGTGAGTGGACGTGTTACAGCCAATTCGGCGGAAGTTCTTGGGGGAGTCTATGTCCCCCAGGATCCCCCGCGCCGTGTTGGCGCACAGAAACGAGTTGGCGAGCGTGGCGTTGGCGCTGAGCGCGGCGCCGGACAGGAACGAGAAGGACTTGCGACGATGGTACCGCGCCGCGCCCGACGCCATGGATGCGGAGGAGAAGAGACCGCAGCGCGCATCCGAGGGGTCGAGGGGCGAGTGGAGAGGGAGAAATTTGGAAGTGTCCGACAGGGAATGGCCGTACGGCGCTGCAAACGCGTGCCTCCCTTCCGCTGCTGCTGCTCCGCCCAGAATCTTGCTGTCGCCGGGAGGCGCGGGGCCCGAAACGCCCGGCCCCGACGCTGGCCTGTCGGAGCGTACCGGCGCTCCCTCGACAAGCGCGCTGCCTGCGCGTTGCTCATCGTGCCCTGCGTCCATGCCCTCGTCCTCCACCTCCTCTTCCCCTTCACCCTCGTCGTCCGTGCTGTCGTCTTGCCCGTTTCCACTCGTTTCATCCAGCCCGCTACCCTTCCGCGACCCTCCGCGCTTCTCCCGGCGACAGTGATACTCGAAACTAACCATAATTTCCTCCTCCTCCTCCTCTTCCTCCTCTTCCTCCTCTTCCTCTTCCTCGCTCCTTTCGTCGTCTCCCCCAGCGTCCTTCGCAACCCCCACCTCGTTGAAATTCCCATCGCCTCCGTCGATGCTTCTTGGATCTCTGGGCTCTAACCCACTGCTCGGGGCAGAAACCGCGGGGAACCCCTCATAATGCTCGTTCTTGATGCTCGGCGCGCAGACCTTTCGTGAAAGCGACGCCGGAGACAGGTGAAGGGACTCGTGCGGCGCATGATCGCCGTGATCCAAGTGGGAGTGCGCGGAGCCCATGGGGGCAGCCGAGAGGAGAACGCTGAGTTAGGGCTACAACGAGAGCGTTCGGACAACAGTAAAACCTTCCCCACTCCTCCTTCGCTCTGCTCCAATTCTCGCCCACGCAGCTGCAGGTTGCTCGCGGAAACTAAACGCCGCGATAAAGACCATATCGCTGTGCTAACGGCATTGGCAAGCCTAAGGGCGTTGCTGTCACGACACTGTGGACGATAGCATTGGTTGTTACGTCATACATGGAGAACGAGCGCATGCTGTGGCACACAAACCACGGCTCGAACACTGGCGGGGGGCAACGACCCGACGCGATGAAATCTCCGTAAGTAGTAGGCTCGTGCGTCAGCTGTCAGGGAACTGAGAATTATCAAAAGGGCCGATGCGGAATCACCTTCTGCGATAAAGAAAGGATGCCACAAACGAACAGGGCAATGCCGAACCTCCTTGTGCACTGAACGGGTAGAGTACGACGTATGAGTGCCTGCCTGACACCGCAAAGCAAAAATCACCCGACTGATCGATGAGGGGTTGTGTGTTTTGTGTGCTTGTTCCAGGCAGTGTGGTGCGCGAAAGGCTGGTCTGGCGGAGGGGAGAGTGTTGGCGGAGGAAGGGGAGGTAGGGCACGCCCGCACCGTGTAAATCGACAGCGGGGTAGGATCTGGGTTTCGTTCCGCGGAAACGCCTCTCGCGGGAAGGACAAGCCCAAGGCAATGGCATCTACCGCATGCGCAGGTGCAGCACCAATGGTGGCGCGGAGAGGCGAGAGGCGGCCGCCAGCATGGCGAAAGGATAATGTGGAGGGCGTTGGGCTGGGTGGGTTCAAGGGGGAGCAGCGGGGTTGCCCAGCCCAGGGCTGGGCAGGGACAAGGGATAGACGAGTAGACAACGGAAAGAAACGTGGTTAATCAGCCGTTATGTCGGGCAGCCTACATACAGTAACTTCCAAACCAATGCGCTGTGTTCTGCCCAATGAGAAGTATAATACGGTACAGTAACTGCAATGTGGATGAACCTTTCCAATGCATAACAAATGCACTGGGTGTCTTCGAAAGCCTTTCCACTAAAGATCTAGAGAGTGCACTAATGCAGCTACAACCATACAAATGTAAGTTTTTTTTTGGGTTGCGTAGCAACCTTATACATTCGTTTTCACTTTTCGGTTGGCTGATGTGAACAGTGAATTTCTCTTATAATTTTGAAAGAAATCACTGTTCACATAGCTTCCCCAAAAAAATGAAAACAGATGTTTCCAATCATTCCATAATCGTCGATAAGTACGGCGAATGGAACAATTGGAGATTCATTCTAGCCCTAAAGATGATGCCCAATGACACAAGAACACAAAGGACAACACAAAAATAAAACCGTCGTGCATGTTCTGAAGGGAACACTAAATGCATCAATGCAACAATTGAGACTGATATGGTACAGAAGAGGCGAGCAAAGCTGCCCCACCGACGATCACAATCCCAGTTGCATACACGAGACACTTAGCACCACACCCCCGAAACAAGCACAGACGATAACACATAAATGATTACAAAAACAGAAGACAACGATAAAGAATGTTTCAAAGCGAATGCTAAATGCATCAGTGCTGCAACTAAGATTGATATGGTACGGAAGAGGCGAGCAAAGCTGCCCCACCGACGATCACAATCCCAGTTGCATACACGAGACACTTAGCACCACACCCCCGAAACAAGCACAGACGATAACACATAAATGATTACAAAAACAGAAGACAACGATAAAGAATGTTTCAAAGCGAATGCTAAATGCATCAGTGCTGCAACTAAGATTGATATGGTACGGAAGAGGCTAGCAAAGCTGCCCCACCGACGATCACAATCCCAGTTGCATACACGAGGCACTTAGCACAACACCCGAAGCACACACAATACACGTATGCACTCACACACATACAGGCTCACACATATACAGACACACACAACACAAAAACATACAGCTACTGTAATAAGCATGCAAGCATAATGAATGAATTTCAGCATTGTATAAATTATCACTATCCTGTCCCCCATTCCCCTCCATCCCTCCCTCCCTCCCTCATTTGCCTCATCTCCCTTCTTCCCATCCGTTTTCTCCGCAAGAAACAAAGGCTGCAGCTTGAACTCCCTGCACAGGAAAGAAAAATCAGCGAATGCAACTCACTCCCTGCACAAACAAGAACAAAATCAGAGAATACAACTTGCATTAGTTGCACAAGAAAACAAATTCAGAGAATGCAGCTTCCTTGATGCACTAAAAAACAAAGTAAGCGCAACAGAAATTCACGCTCTCTCGCGCACCCTCTCGCACACTCTCTCACACACTCTCCACACGCTCCCTCACGCGCTCTCTCACGCGCTCCCTCACGCGCTCCCTCACGTTCTCCCTCACGCAATCTCTCATTCGCACTCTCACTTACGCGCTCCCTCGCACGCTCTTGTCAGAATCACTAGGCAAGAATGAATGAAAGGAGAGGGGTTGAACTAGCAGGCAGTTGAGTACAAATAGCAAACCCTAGATTGGGCTGTACTCGCTATAGAGTACCCCACTGCAGGCTAGACAATAATAGCATTCTGACACACCCCCATAGCCAAAGTGGGGTGTAATCAGCAGAGCAAGCAAAGCAGTACAAGCTCAGGGTGGATCACAATGTCACCACACATTCTGAGCACAAGTTCAAGAAGCAATAGTTTAAAGTTCACAGTTATGAGCAAAGCTAGAGGCAGTCACAGAGGGCAAGCGAGGAGGAGGAGGGCTGGCGAGAGGAGAGAAGATGAAAGGCGCCGACTGAAGCTGCAGACACACGGGCAACAGGAGCGGCGCGCACAGTGGCTACCGAGCGCACGAGGGCACCGGACTACGGGAGTATCTGGCTCCGCGGCTACGACGAGCACACACAGGAGCAACGGACCCACAGGCGACTGGCGAAGCAGGCTCGCTGGGCTACCGAAACGCGCGAGGGCATCCGGACTACTGGCGCTGCTGGCGTCACGACGGCTACCTCCACGCAATCTCCCCCGACCGTCCCACGCCCCTCTCACACACCCCCTGCTGACACCCTAGCTCCACTCCGACGGTACCCCCCTTAAACCCCAAACCCTAGGCTCCCACACACCACCCCCCTCAGCGGCAGCTGTAGCAGAGGGAGACGAGGGAGGAGGAGGAGCAGGGGGAGGAACTCACAACCGACACCCCCATAGCCGCCACCCCCACACTCTTCACCCCCAAACCCTAATTTAGGAGAACGGGCTGTAGGAGGGGTGAGGCGCCGGTAGAAGCACGGGGGACAGTGGAGAGGGCAGGAGCAGCGAGGAACGGGCCGCCCACGGGCCTGGTAGAGCCGCCCGAACCGCGCGCAGGCGGCCCGAGCCGCGCGCGGGCCTGGCGCTTCCCGTACGGGCCGCGCGCGGGCCTGGCGCAGCCCGTACGGGCCGCGCGCGGGCCTGGCGCAGCCCGTACGGGCCGCGCGCGGGCCTGGCGCAGCCCGTACGGGCCGCGCGCGGGCCTGGCGCAGCCCGTACGGGCCGCGTGCCGGGTGTACGGGCCGCGCGCAGGCCACGACGGGCGACGGGGGGCGACGCGCGGGTCCCCGTCGCCCGTCGCAGCGCCTCCCGGGGGCGACGTGCCGAGTGACGGGGCAGGAACCCGCCGCGCGCCTCGGGGCACACGGCGGGCAGAGAACCGCCGCGCGCCTCGGGGCGCACGGCGGGCAGAAAACCGCCGCGTGCCTCGGGGCGCACGGCGGGCTGAAAACCCTAGTTTCGACGCCGCGCGCCACGGGGCGCGCGGCGGACAGGGAGTAGCAGTAGCAGTAGCAGTAGCAGCGGAAGGCTTAGGTGGTGGGCCCACCCACAGGATCGACCCAGGAGGGTCGACCTGCTCTGATACCATGTCAGAATCACTAGGCAAGAATGAATGAAAGGAGAGGGGTTGAACTAGCAGGCAGTTGAGTACAAATAGCAAACCCTAGATTGGGCTGTACTCGCTATAGAGTACCCCACTGCAGGCTAGACAATAATAGCATTCTGACAGCTCTCTCAGGCGCGCTCGCTCTCACGGGCTCTAACACGCGCTGTCACTCGCTCCCTCACGCGCTCTCTCACGCGCTCTCTCACGCGCTCTCTCACGCGCTCTCTCACGCGCTCTATCACGCTCACTCCTACACGTACTTTCCTATGCGTGCGCTCCAGTGCACACGCTCTCCCTCGCGCTCCGCGTCTCTCCCTTTCTTCACGAAGAGAGCTACGCAAGAGAAGACCAATCGACACACAATAATTACGAGGAGAGCAAAAACAAACAAAAAAAATTGAAGAAGAATAAACAAAGAATTTTCAGAGGGAGGAGGGAGGATGAAAGGACCCGGAACGCACCGGATTTACCACGGTAACTCGGAAAACAACCCGCTCTCGCGCACCAAAAAGCGCTCGCGCACCAACTCGCGGTTGCGCCCGTGCACTGGTCGCCGGAGGCGACTACGGGGTAGGAGGGAGGGGCGACGGCGGGGAGGAGGGAGAGGCGACGGCGGGGAGGAGGGAGAGGCGACGGCGGGGAGGAACGGAGAGGCGACGGCGGGAGGGAGGGAGCGGCGATGGCGGGGAGGAGGGAGAGGCGAAGGCGGGAGGGAGGGAGAGGCGACGGCGGGGAGGAACGGAGAGGCGACGGCGGGAGGGAGGGAGCGGCGATGGCGAGGAGGAGGGAGAGGCGAAGGCGGGAGGGAGGGAGAGGCGACGGCGGGGAGGAGGGAGAGGCGACGGCGGGGAGGAGGGAGCGGCGATGGCGGGGAGGAGGGAGAGCTAAGGCGGGAGGGAGGGAGAGGAGACGGCGGGAGGGAGGGAGAGGCGACGGCGAGGAGGAGGGCGAGGCAACGGCGGGGAGGAGGGAGAGGCGACGGCGGGAGAAACGGAGAGGCGACGGCGGGAGGGAGGGAGCGGCGACGGCGGGGAGGAGGGAGAGGCGA